CTGGGTTGGGAGGGGGGTCTGGAGCAAATCCACAGCGTTACAGTACTGGTATCTCTGAGCGTTACGGGCCAGGACTCACATTTCCCATAGACCTGCTTCCTGCAGGATGCGGTGGGGAGGGAGCAGAGCTGGACCCGCTGGCTGCTGCCTGGCAGGGTGGAGATGATGGGAGCTACGGCTGTGGTGGGCACCAGGACAGCTCTGCCAGGGGTTGAGCCAGGGGACCATCTCCAGCACCCTGTGCCCACCCCAATGCCATGCATGGATGCTGGGGGAAGCCGGCTGCATATCAGTGACCTGGACATCTGCACACCCACAGCAAACATTCTGGGAGGGCAATGGAGGCTGCGGCTTGCCAGCCTGTTTCTGCTGGGACAGAAAGTGGCTGTTTTGGCTGGCTGCTGGGACCCCATCACTTTGCATCGCCCACCATGTCCCCTCCGTGTCCCATCTGCAGCTGATTTGGCCTCAAGAGCCGTTCAGGCCCAGGTACATCAGGCGTTTTCAAACCATGCTCGAGGCAGGACCTGCGCTGCTGGATGCTCTGGAGGACGAGCATCCCCCAGTGCGAGGGGCGGCCACTCACTGGGAGACCTTCATGGCAGGCGGGAATCTGAGGACAGTGCAGAGCTCTCCTAACTTGACATCAGAAAATTTTAAAGGCAATATTCTGCTGGGCTGCAGAAAGTTCTCTCTCCAGGAGCGCAGCCAGCACTGCTGGAGAACTGGTTGGATAACTCAGCGGGTCTGTGCCATCAGAGACACAAGCTAAATGGACGCGAGCCAGGTTTCTATGAGGACTTGGGAAGCTGGGTGCAAGCAGGAGTTTAATTAAACCAAGACAATCACATCAAAGCCGGTCCCTGTGCAGATACCCTCCTTCACTTGCAAGAATTAATTAATGAGTTTGAGTTAAACCTGTTCCCTCTTGATTGAAGCGCAGCCTGACTGAGCTGGTGGCAGTGCCTGCTGGCGCTTAGCAGGGACTGCGCTGGTGCCCGGGTTTGCAGCGGGTTTGCACCAGATGAGAGCAGAGCTGGGAGCTGCCCTGAGAGCTCAGCTGATGAGTGGTAACTCATTCGGGCACTCAGACCCCACCCCCAGCAGCAGGTGACAGAGGATGAGCTCCCCAGTGGGTATAAATCAGGGCAGACACCCCCCCCGGGTTACAAAGCAGAATTACTCAGCCCTGGGGGGAGCTGGCTGAGGGGAAGCTGCTGGTTTTGATGGGGAGCCTTTACCCTGAGTGCAGACTGCAATGTGAGGTTATCAAGGGTGGGGGGGAAGAGCTAGCAACTTCCTAGCAAGAGCTTGGCTGTGGGCAGGAGGAAGGTAGGAGTGGGTTCAGTCCTGCTGGTGTCAGGGCCAGCTTGTATGGTAAGCAGGGGGGGGATCTGGAGCAGGGCGAGAGCTGGGCAGCTGCTTGTGGAGGAGGAATGGGAGAGGACCTGTGGGCTTGGACATCACACAGGTAAGCGAGGGCTGCAGCCTCCCGAGCTGCAATCCCTGTCTTTTTTCATCCCAGCTGAAAACTTGGGCTGTTGAGCAACTTTTTTCTGGTCAAGCCTCATCTTCAGGGCTTCACCAGAAGAAAGAGGAGTGGCCCTAGAGACAGCACATGCAGGGTGATGTGATTCCCCCCCTGTTTAACACCCCCATCCCAACAGCGGCAAGGGTGGATGAGTGGGGGTGTCCCCCCATCACTTCTCGCTGCTGGGAAGCTCAGGCTTGGATGGAGCATCGTCCCTGGGTGACATAGGAAAGCTTCCCATCACGCTGCCGAGAGACCCGGGGAACCTTGTGGCAAAATGTTTTTGTTTTCCCTCTGGTTCCGTAAATTGCGATTTCAGCGTGCCCTGCCAGAGCAGTTCTGGTTTGAAGCAAACACTTTGGGTAAAGCCCTGGCTCTGCTGATGTCAATGGGCGAATTCCCCTGGTGTTGGTGCCATCCAGAGCCTCCTCGGGGTCCTTCCCAAAAGTTGTTTTTGTGCTCGAGGTTTTCGGTCATACAGAACAAGGATCCTCACAAGCCTTGTGTGATTTTACCAGCCACAAAATCACAAACTAGGAAAGTAAGATGTGTGGGAAGGGCAGAAATGCTTCTACCTTGTTTTACTGTTTTAAAAGATCCCTCAAGAAACAAGATTATTCAGTTAAACTTCCTAATGACTCTATTTAGAGAGGGAAGTACATAATCTTTCAGATTTTATTTTAAGAAATGGCTTGTTCAGCCCAGCACTAGAGAAGAACACATTTATCTCGCATGAAAGCATTTGTTCCTCTCTGGAAAGCATTTTGCTTGAATTCACTCTTAGCTCAATCGTTTGACTCCTTGAAAGCAGACAGGGAAATAACTTAAGAACATTCCCCTGCTATCTCCAGATGAGCCGCTCTTTACAGGATGAGTAATTGTACGAAACCCCAGCCCTCTGCAGCAGGTTTCCCCTGGCAGCTTCCGAATCGAGGAGGGAGGCTGCAGCCTTGCCTGATGGCCTCCTGCCTTCAGTCACTGCACATCCAGGTTAAGCGATGCTGGGGTTGGAACTGCCTGGTGCTTCGAGGCTGCGTGGGAAGAGCTAAGCATCCTCCCTGCAGGTCTGGGTCTCCTGAAGGGCTGGGAATAAAATCAGTGTGGTCCCAGGGCTGGCTGATGTCCCTGTGGATGTCCATCCTGTGCTGCCCTGCAGAGCCTGGCCCTCACCATGGCTCCTGCTCCAGCCCTTCGAGCCAGAGGAGCGATGCTCCTTCCCTCTCCCCTGGTACCTATAACCCCGTGCAAAAATGCACCCTTTGCATGTTATTTAAAGCCCTACATCAGGTCTTTCTGTTGCTGCTCCCATGCACCAGCTCCTCATCCCTGCTTGCTGATGGAGGAGGTGAGTGGGAAATGCATTGTGGGGTTTTTCCTTGGCTGGGGGAAGGTGTCCTGCACCGAGCGGCATCCTCGAGCCCTGGAGCTGCCAGTGAGGCAGATCAGCCTCAGGGTTAGCGCTGGCCACTGCAAGGCAACAGCTCTCAGTTCTCTGATGGCCTTGGGGAAGTTGTTTTTGCCTGTTTATGCCTTGGTTTGCTTTCAAAAGAGCCGTGGTGCCAAACCCTTGGCAAGGAAGGGCTGGTGCTGCCTTTTCCCTGGTACCCGCAGCCCTTCGCCCTTCCCAGGTGCATCCCAGTCTGGCTGCCCCACGAGAGAGGAATCCATCCGTCCCTCCCAGGAGAAAGCTATGTCCAGAACATCCAATGCTCCTCGGGGCTTCTGTGGCCGTGCCTGCCCTTGGCCCTGGGGCAAAGCAGAGTTGGAAACACCGGAGCCCCACGGCCCCGCATCCTGGGACCACCTTCCCCCAGCGCCTTTCCTTTGAAGTCACACTGCAGTCCCGGCCTCTCCTTTGGGGGAATGGGGATCAGCAAAGCAGGCAGAGCCCATGGGATGCCCGGGAAGAGGATTTATGTCTGGTGGCTCCCTGCCAGGCTCAGTCTTCCATCACTGCAGCTCCTGGGCTGGGCTGCTGCCTCCTGACCTCTGCACCTTGCTGCAACCTGCGCCAGGGCACGAGGCTCCCCCGAGTGACGCAGCACCAGGGCTTGGCGTGGGAAAAGACGTCAGGGCTGAGGGGAGAGGGGCTGCGACCCGCAGGGCAGAGCCTCGGTGCCCACCGAGGTCAGCTTTCCCCTGGCTCCAAGCACTGCAGCCAAAATCCCCCAGGGAAGGAGGCGTTCAAGCCCTGGTTTTGGAGGGGAGTTCTCTGTAGCTTGTGGGGTGTCCTCCTCACCCCTCCTCCCTGCACCGATGTCCCATGGGCAAGGGTGCCAGCAGTGCCCTAAACAAATCCCACCCACAGCAGGAGCGCGCCGGCGCGGTTGCGTAGCTGGGGGTTTCGAGGCAGGGGCAAGTGTGTCGTCAGGTTTCTTCCAAGAACATTTTTATTGCCTTGGCGGTCATTTCCCACCAAGGTTCTCTGAGGTCAAGCGCTGGGCTGGGAACTGCAGGGCCTGATCCGGCACCCACCCCCCCTGGGCTGGGTGCTGCTGGGGAAACGCAGCCGCGTGTGAGCTGGGGACCAGTGATGCACCTTGTGTGAAGGAGTCCTCTGCAGCCCCCACCCGGGGTTTTGAGCCACTCGGCTCCCTGTGTGTGTCTCCCTGGGAACATCTCCCTGCCAAAACGCAGGGCAGGGCTGGGCGCAGTAGCTCGGGCACCCAGAGCCGTGCTGGGCTCCCCTGCATCCTGCTCGTACCGGGCAGAGAACAGACCGCTGCTCCCAGCACGGTGCGCCTGGCCGGGCTGCGGGTGCTTGTACCTTGATCCGCTGTCATACACAACAACTGCGATGAGTTTAGCTGTTCTCTGTATTAAGGCTCTGTTCCCTCACTGGTTTAACAGAGCTGGGGGAGCTTTTCCCCCTCGCTGTGCCCGGAAGAGCCCCATGAGGACCTTGGGTCTGGTGGGTTTGCAGTTGGTGTCTGCGTGGCCAAGGGGGCTGTGACCAAGCGCCCTTTGCTGTTCCCCTCCCTGGGCCCTTGAGGAAAACCCCCATTCCTCTGCAGCATGGAGCTCGGGGACATCTCCTTAGCCAGCCTGCCATCTAGACCTGAGCCACCACCACTGTCTCGGCATCACCCACCAGCTCTCCTGACTGACACCAGCAGGCATTTGGCCCATGCCCTGCACACACCGTGTTAGCGATGGCTGGGTGCTGACACGTAGCGATGCTACGAACCTCAGGGAGCCTGGGTTCACAGCTCCACTTGCCAGCCACCCTTCTTGGCTGTGCCCACCGGGCTCGGGGGTCTCCTGGCCGTGCCACCCTCCGCAGGGGCCGTCACGGTCAGCACCCAGCTACCTGCCCTCAGTGCTGCCTGCGGGATCCCCAGCCCTCCCCCGGCCAGCAGCGGGGAGGAGAAACCCCCAGGGATGCAGAAACCCAGGCTATAAAAGCATCCTCCCCTCCGGGAGGCACCGAGGCTGCTGGCGAAGGAGGCGACAGCCCTGGGAGAGCGCGATGCCGGCCGGACGCAGCGGGAGGGTGCAGCAGTGTCTGGTGGTCTTGGCCGTGACCTGGGGTGCCAGCTTCTTCCCCTCGCCAGCCCAGGCTTTGCAGAGGTAGCGGGCGTGCGCGTTGCAGGTGGCCCGCAACGTTTTGGGTCTCACTGTCTCCCCTTGGCTTTGGGTGCTGGGGACCGATGGGACCCCGCTCCTGCGGTACCTGCTGTGCTGGGAAACCCTCTTCCTCCTCCTTTTCTGTGCTAGCACACCCGCTCTTCTTCGCTCCTCTTCCTCTCTCTGCTCTTCCTCGCTCCTCTTCCTCTTACCTTGAGCACCGCTTGGCTCAGCAGCACCTCTGTCTCCCAAATAACCCAGGAGACCAAGAAGAAGAGTTTCTTTTGCAAAGCAAACGAGCCAAGTGTGGGGCTGGGCTCAGCCCGTGGGTGGCTGCCCGGTGCCGGTGGGGTCCCTGCCCCGGGTGGGCTGTGGAGCATCACTCCTGCTGCAGCCCCCCACCCCACCCCGGGGTCCGGCTGGCAGCCCCAGGATGCGGGGGAGTCCCTGGGGGCTCCCCCGGCCGCCCAGCCCTGCCCTCGCCCCCCGGCAGGATCACACTGCGGAGGATGCCCTCCATCCGCCAGACCCTCCAGGAGATGGGGGTAAAGGTGTCCGATGTCTTCCCCGAGCTGAGGCAGAGCAGACGCAGCGGCACAGAGGGTCCCCGAAACGGGACGGCTCCCACCCTCCTCACCAACTACCTGGATGTGAGTCTCTCCCTGCGTGGGGATTTGTCACCCCTCGGGTCCCACCCCTGGTGCGTTTGCAGCTGGGGGGCTCGGGTCTGCTGTGCCCCCCGCGATGCTCCCCGTGCCGTGGCTCTTCCAGACCCAATATTTCGGCGAGATCAGCATCGGGACCCCCGCACAGACCTTCAAGGTGGTTTTTGACACAGGCTCAGCCAACCTGTGGGTGCCGTCCCACAAATGCTCCCCCCTCTACAGTGCCTGTGGTGAGTACGGGGGCACGGCTGGATGCAGCGCTGACCCCCTCCAGCCCCAGCTTCAGCGACCATGGGCGAGTCCCTCCGTCCCGAGGGCTGCTCACAGCGGGGCTGGGCAGGGTTACCTTGGCACAGGGGGGGCCATCCGCTGCTTGATGCACCTTCTCCCTCTCCCCAGTTTCCCACAGCCGCTACGACTCTGTCAAGTCACGGACGTACATAGCCAACGGCACGGGCTTCTCTATCCGCTATGGGACCGGGAACGTCAAAGGCTTCCTCAGCCAGGACATCGTCATGGTGAGTGCGTGCCCTGAATTCACAGACCCAGAGACGCTGGCTCAGCAAGAAGATGTCCACACGTGTCTTTGCTCCCCCATATGAGCATCCCCAGTTACCCAAGAGTAGGAGGGTTTCTGGTGGGGCTTTAGCCCCCCAGCTCCCTGCAAGGACGCTTGTGCACTTCCCCAGGTATCAGACATCCCCATCATCCAGGTCTTCGCCGAGGCGACGGCGCTGCCTGCCTTCCCCTTCATCTTTGCCAGGTTTGACGGGGTGCTGGGCATGGGCTACCCCAGCCAGGCCATCGACGGCATCACCCCCGTCTTCGACCGGATCCTCTCCCAGCAGATCCTCAAGGAGGACGTGTTTTCCGTCTACTACAGCCGGTGGGTCCCGCGGCGAGCAGGCGCCGGGGCTGGGGAGGTGTTTGCTCTGCAGGGCGCAGGCGTTGCAGCCACGGCAGCACTGGGTTCGCGTCTCGGGACTGGGAAAGAGCCATGGCTGGGGCTGTGGGACGTGGGGTGGGGGCCATGGGTGCAGGGGGGATGGCTGGAGGAGCTGGGGTGGAATGAGGCAGCACCAGAGGCAGAGCCAGGTGGACGCTTATCTGGAGCTGCTGGGCAGGGAGGGCCGAGGCTGGGAGCAGCTACTCCCCGCTCATTTATCACTGTCAGATTGCACAAAGTCACCAGCTCTGCTCGTGGGGCTGGGGCAGTCGCAGCCAGGAGTGGGTTTAGAGCTTCAACTACGGGCAAAATTAAAAAAAAATCCAAAAAACTGCTGGAGAAAAACCTGCACCAGCAGTCAGCCCACCTTTCTTTTCTTGCCCCAAGCTGCTGTGCCCCAGCACCCCTCTTCCCAGCAGCACCAAATCCTGTAGGAGCAGCAGGAGGGCCCGTCCTGGCAGAGCAGGATCACTGCTTCCCCCCCC